CTTCTCTTTGCTGCAGGATCTGCAGCAGCAGCAGCAACAGCAACAGCAGCAGCAGCAGCAGCAGCAGCAGCTGCTACACCCCAACCTAAGCAATCTGTTCGTGCCGCCGCAGCCGCAGCAGCAGCAGCATCTGGGGGTTTCATCATTAAGCAGTTGCCCTGTGGGCAGCAGGTACAAGGGACACTGGCAGCAGCAGCAGCAGCAGCAACAGCAGCAGCAGCAGCTGCTGCAGCAGCAACAGCATGACCCGCGGCAGCGATTTAATGGCATCCGGCAGCAATCATTTGGCGCCCCCCTAAATTACCTGGGCCTCAACGGTGCAGCAGCAGCAGCAGCAGCAGCAGCAGGCATGGGTCCCGCCTGGATCCAGCAGCAGCAGCAGCAGCAGCAGCAGCAGCAGCAGCAGTACCCCTCTTACCCAGAAGACTGCGCGACGCTTCCGCGCCTGAATTGCGGCCGCCGCAGCAGCCCTGACGGAGCTTCCCTGTATGGCTGCTTGCAGCTGCAGCAGCAGCAGCAGCTGCAGCAGCAGCAGCTGCAGCAGCAGCAGCTGCAGCAGCAACTGCAGCAGCAGCTGCTGCTGCCAGGAGGCCTCGGTGGCTGCAGCAGCGCGAGAGGGCCTTCGGGGCCCCCGCAGCTGCCCAACCAGTGCAACCCTTACCTATGCGCGCCCGCAGCAAGCAGCAGCAGCAGCAGCAGCAGCAGCAGCAGCAGCAGCGGCAGCAGCAGCAGCAGCAGCAGCAGCAGCCTTGCGTGGAACTCGAATGCGGGTAGGAGCGCCTCTAATTTAGCTTTTATTCCTTTTGCTGCACCTTACTTGCCAGGGGGTGAGCCTGGAGATGCTGCTGCTGCTGCTGCTGCTGCTGCTGCTGCTGCTGGGGGTGCTCCGCAGGCAGCGCCGCCGCCGCCGCCGCAGCAGCCCCCGGCGCCTCCGGCGCCTTCGCAGCAGCAGCTGCTGCTGCTGCAGCAGATGCAGCAGCAGCGCGAGGAGCAGCGGCTGCTGCAGCGCGACTATCTCTCTTCAGGCCTCATGGGCATCTCAGCAGCAGCAGCAGCAGCAAGATGGTCCCCTGCCCCCGCTGGAAGCAGCAGGGCCTTTCTTGCTCCCGCTGAGGCGGCAGCAGCAGCAGCAACCACTGCAGCAGCAGCAGCAACAGTTACTGCTGCAGCGGCCACTGCTGCAGCAGCTGCAGCTGCAGCAGCTACCGCGCCGCCCAACGGGGACCGCACTGAAGAAGCAGCGAGCAGCAGCTGCAGCAGCGGCTGCAACGGCAGCAGCAGCAGCAGCAGCTGCGACCGCTTCAGCAGCAGCTGCGACAGCTTCAACAGCAGCAACACCAGCTGCAGCAGCAGCAGCAGCAGCAGCAGCAGCAGCAGCAGCGGTGAAGCAGCTTTTAGTGATTCTGGGGACCCCCCCGCAGCTGAGGGGCCCCACACTTGCAGTACTAAAGAGAAGAGCAACACGTTGGAGGTTCGCTTAGCTGCTGCTGCTGCTGCTGCAGCAAGAGCAGCAGCTGCTGCTGCAGATAGTGCAGTGGGCGAGGCGGGCTGAGCAGCAGCAGCAGTGGCTGCTGCTGCTCTCGCTGCAGCAGCAACAGCAGCAGTGCAAAGATCAGCACCGAAGCGTTTCACAGCAGCGTCCGCGGCAGCAGCAGCAGCAGCAGCAGCAGCATGCTGGAATCAGCAGCAGCAGCTTGACACAACACTCAGCAGCAGCTGCGGCGGCCCTCTGCAGCTCTGAGAGCAGCAGCAGCAGCAGCAGCAGCAGCAGCAGCAGCAACGGCAGGAGAACCCGCAGGGGGTGATTCAAGTTCAACAGATGCAACAGCAGCAAGAGCAGGAGCAGCAGCAGCAGCAACAGCAGCAACAACGTTTTCGAGAACAGCAGCAGCAGCAGCAGCAAGGCCTCACCGGAGGGCGGGCTGGCAGCTGCAGTTGGGGTGTACGTACACCTGAACTGCATGCACGGAGTCTGCCATTCTTCCTTTCGCAAAGATGCATTTGTTTTGTTTATTACATTTAATTATATTTCTCGCTTGTATTTGCATTAAGTTTCAATTAAAACAGGCAAAGGCCCCAAAAGAGTGCATGCATGCATGCAACGCCGGAGGTGCTGGCTCGAGTTTATTTAAATTGGGTTTTGTTTGTTGGCAAATAATTCAACTTTAAGTGCACACGCGTTTGCGAAGAAGCAAGCACTTGCCCGCGTTGCAGCAGCAGCAGCAGCAGCAGCAGCAGCAGCTGCTGCTGCTGCTGCTGCTGCGTGTGGGGTGTCAGTGAGCAAAGCGAGGCGCGGGAGGCTCTTATTGGGGCTGCATGCATGCGGCGCAGCAACTGCACTTGTTGGTTCGTTTTGCTGCAGTTGCTGCTGCTGCTGGCAGCAGGAAGCAGCTGGAGAGCCCTGGGGTTGGTTAGCAGCATTTGGAGTTTTGTTTGAATGGTTTTCTTTGTTTATTTGCTGCTGCTTGTCCCTGGTTGCTGCTGCAGCGCTGCTGCAGCGGCGCTGCAGCAGCAGCAGCGCTGCTGCTGCGCTGCTGCAGCGCTGCTGCAGCGGCGCTGCAGCAGCAGCAGCTGCGGGGGCCGGCGCTGCTGCGCTGCAGTGCCGCCGTTGAAAGCCCAGCAGGAAGCAGCTGGAGAGCCCTGGGGTTGGTTAGCAGCATTTGGAGTTTTGTTTGAATGGTTTTCTTTGTTTATTTGCTGCTGCTTGTCCCTGGTTGCTGCTGCAGCGCTGCTGCAGCGGCGCTGCAGCAGCAGCAGCGCTGCTGCTGCGCTGCTGCAGCGCTGCTGCAGCGGCGCTGCAGCAGCAGCAGCTGCGGGGGCCGGCGCTGCTGCGCTGCAGTGCCGCCGTTGAAAGCGCAATTGAGATGCAATTGAAGTGCAATTAAATGCAATTAAAAAGCGCATTAAATGCAATTAAAAAGTGAATTAAATGCAATTAAAAAGCGGAATTGAATGCAATTAAAAGAGCAATAAAATGATCCCAAGAGCCCCTCTGAAGTCCTCGCGAAGCAGCGCCGCAGCAGCAGCAGCAGCAGCAGCAGCGGGCTGCATGCGTTGTTGCATCTTCAATGCATTCAAATAAATCATTTGTGAATTTTGAGTTGTTTTTAAAGTCCGGGAAATCGCAGGTTGTGGTCGAAAGTGAAAAGCAAAAGAAACGAGTTGTGGGCGTTTTCGCGGTGTACGTACACCCCAGCTGCCTGTACACCCCACAGGCCTGTACACCGCAGCTGTCTGTACACCTCAGCGGGCCACTCGGCAAACCCATCCGCTCTTCTTTCTCTTTCTTTCTTTCTTTCCCCAGGCGACAGAGACACGCGCATGCATTCTTATTATCACCACACGCATGCATGCATGCATGCATGCATGCATGCGTGCGTGCATGCATGCATGCATGGGTGCATGCATGCATGCATGCATGGGTGCATGCATGCGTGCATGCATGCATGCATGCATGCATGGGTGCATGCATGCGTGCATGCATGGTGTTGTTATTACGGATGCTCGTGGAGTTTTGAAATGTTGATTTCAGAAGCGAAATGCAATTCCCAAAAATGCTTAATTACATATTCTATATAAATATATTTACCACCGCTCCCCGCAATGCAGTTGCCTTCTTGTGCTGCAGCATGCATGCATGCATGCATGCGCTGCATGCATGCGCTTGCTGCTGCATGCACTGCATGCATGCGCTTGCTGTTGCATGCGTTTCTGCATGCATGCGTTTGCATGCGTGCGCCTGCGTGCATGCACTTGCATGCATGCGTTTGCATGCATGCACTTGCATGCATGCCTTTGCATGCATGCATGCACTTGCATGCATGCACGGCGCCCACGGAACAGCTGCTGCTGCATGCAGCTGCTGTTTGTGTCTCTCGTGAAAGCGTTTATGAAATGGGTTGAGGAAATAAATAGTTTAAAACGATTTAAATAAAATTAATTAATTTAAAAGTGTTTTAAATTAATTAGTTTTATCAGGAGAGAGAAATGGCGCCGCGTTGTGCATGCGCATGCATTAACAACCCCGAGCAGCTGTATGTATCCCCGACATATTTATATTTATATTTATATATATATTTATATTTATATTTATATTTATATCTATATTTATATTTATATTTATATTTATATCTATATTTATATCTATATTTATATCCATATATTTATATTTATATTTATATTTATATATATATTTATATTTATATTTATACTTATATTTATATTTATATTTATACTTATATTTATATTTATATTTATATTTATGTTTCGTCGATATTTATATATGTATATGTATGACAACCGAACCAGCACGAAGCCGAAGTGTGAAAAGAATAATTCCGGCTGTCTTTGCCTGAGCCTGCATGCATGCGCTGCACTTTTCTTTCTTTTGCATGCATTGTGTGCAAGAGTTTGCAAAAGGTCTTTGCCGTTTTGGAATCGCCGCGCAGTGGCTCTTGGGGTGTACGTACACCGCAGCGCTCCGGGGGCTGCTTCCAGACACCAGAAAGAAGGGAAACTGGCAATTAAAAGAATAAAAGGATTTATAAATCAAATGGATTATGAATTAAAACAATTTAAGGATTTATAAGTCCAACAAAGGCGATTTCTGCTGCACTCGGCCGGCGGCGCGCGTTTGCTGCTGCAGCAAAGGCGGAAGCAGCTGAGGTGTACGTACACCTCGGGAGGCGTGCTGGGGTGTACGTACACCTCGCGCTGGCGGTTCTTTCGCTTGTCTCTTTGGCCGATCAATTGTGTCAAATGAAAAGTAAATTATTTCTTTTTGTCTCTAATTGTCTTTGAAATAAATGGTCTTTGCTTCTGTTTGTCCATGGCTTGTTTGCTGCTGCTCGTGTGGCTGGCTGAAGCGCTTTATCAATAAGAGTTGACCTTCAATTCACTTCAGTTTGTCAGGAATGGAGTTCTTTATTTTCTAATCCTTTATTTACATCTTTTTATGAATTGTAAATTAATTAGAAATTAAACAATTCTTTTCAAATTAATGCAAGCCTGATCTCCCCCGCGAACCCGAAACGTTGACTGCCTTTTTTTATTAAGTCGTGCCATTTACGAACCACCAGCAGCAGCAGCAACAGCAGCAGCATTAGCAGCAGCTTCAGTTTTCTCTTGAGCTCTATCAAAGGCTGGTTTCATAGTTTGGTTGTTCTGGCAGCAGCGGCTGCTGCTGCTGCTGCTGCTTGCTTCTGCTGCTTTCCAGCAGCAGCAGCAGCAGCAGCAGCAGGCTGTTTAGGGGCAGTATGAGCAGCAAGGAAGCAGCGGAGCTCGTTTAGCCCCAAGTCTTGCTTAGCAGAAACAGCAAACGCGACTGGCTGCAGCACTTGCTCTTGCTGCTGCTGCAGCAGCAGCTGCTGCTGCAGTCGCAGCATGAAGTGGTGTAGCTCAAAAGCCTAGCAGCACACCCGCAGCAGCAGCAGCAGCAGCAAAAGCAGCAGCAGCAGCGACAAGTGGAAATTCACGGAGACGAAGAATGGGGAACAGCCTCGCACAAGCAGCAGCAGCAGCAGCAACAGCAGCAGCAACAGTAACAGCAGCAGCAGCAGCAGCAACAGTAACAGCAGCAGCAGCAGCAGCAACAGCAGCAGCAACAGTAACAGCAGCAGCAGCAGCAGCAGCAACAGTAACAGCAGCAGCAGCAGCAGCAGCGTACAGAGAGCAAATCCACTTTGGTGACTGCAACAACAAAAGGCTTTTTGTTCTCCAGCAGCAGCCGCCACATTTCCAAGTCTTGCTGCCGCACGCCAGCAGCAGCATCAACAAGACAAAGAACTAAACGCAGCCTGCACACAGCAGCAGCAGCAGCAGCAGCAGCAGCAGCAGCAGCAGCTGGTAGCACAGCAGCAGCTGATGCCGCAGCAGCAAGGCACGGGCAGCAGCAGCAAGTGCTACAGCAACAAGTGCAGCAGCAACTCCAGCAGGCCCAGTGGAAACCCAGCCGCTGCAGTAGCAGCAAATTCAGCAGCAGCAGCAGCAGACGCAGCAGCAAACATAGCAGCAGATGCAGCAGCAAACATAGCAGCAGCAGCAGCAGCAGTGTCCATTACTGTGTAGATCTCTGCAAATATTCCTCCACCAAAACCGCCCAGTCGCGCTTCAGCAGCTGCAGCAGCAGCAGCAGCAGCAGCAGCAGCACAATATTACGACGGGAGCAAAAGACAGCAGCAAGATCTTTGCCTTCAGACGCAGCAGCAGCAGCTACTTCATTGGCAGCTGCAGCAGCCGCAGCAGCAGCCAAAACAGCAGAATTAGCAGTATCAAAAACAGCAGCAACATCAGAAGCAGCAGCAGCAGCAGCAGCAACAGCAGCAAAGCCGTAAGCAGCAGCACCCAGGAGTCCAGCAGCAGAAGCAAGAACACTTCGAAAAAAGCCCTAGCAGCAGCAGCAGCAGCAACGAGAAAAGCAGCAACAGCGAAAGCAGCAGCAGCAACAAGAGCACCAGCAGCAGCAAGAGCAGCAGCAGGGACAAGACCAGCAGCAGCAACAGCAAGAAAAGCAGCAGCAGCAGCAGCATCAACCAAAACAGCAGCGGCAGCGGCAACAGTAGCAACAACACGAGCAGCAGCAGCGGCTGCGACAAAATCAGCAGTGACACGAGCAACAGCAGCAGCAGCAGCAGCAACAACAACAGCAGCAGCAGCAACAGCAGCAGCAGCAGCAACAGCAGCAGCAGCAGCATACAGGATCCACTTTTGCAAATCCGTAGCCCGGCAAGTCGACGAGCGTCAAGCGGGAGCCCAACTCAAACAAAAACAAGTGGCGAGTGCGGCCCTTGAAGCAAGCAGCAGCAGCAGCAGCAGCAGCAGCAGCAGCAGCAGCAGCAAATGCAGGAACAGCAAGTGCAGCAGCAGCAAATGCGGCAGCAGCAAATGCAGCAGCGGCATCAACTACAACGGCAGCAGCTGCTGCAACAGCAGCTGCGCTGCACAAATGAGCATCTGAACACGTCAACCTGCAGCCACAGCAGCAGCAGCAGCAGCCACAGCAGCAGCAGCAGCAGCAGCAGCAGCGACAGCAGCAGCAGCAGCAGCCACAGCAGCAGCAGCAATGGCAGCAGCAAGCTGACTGCAGTTCTGCTGGTCCTGGCGACCTCGCGGCCAAAAAGGAGGCCGTTGATGAGGCTGGACTTTCCGCAGTTGGAGTGGCCCACAAAAGCAACCTGCAGCAGCAGCAGCAGCAGCAGCAGCAGCAGCAGCAGCAGCAGGGAAGGCAGCAAGTAGTAGACTGGCCAACTGCCCCCCCAGCGACGCAGCTGCTGCAGCAGCAACTGCAGCACCCGCTGCTGCTGCTGATTCTGCAGAGAGAAGCTCTCCACAGCTCTCAGCAGAAGGACAAGGGTCTTGCTGCAGCACAAAGCAGCAGCAGCAACAGAAGCAGCAGCAGCAGCAGCAGCAGCAGCAGCAGCAGCAAACCTGCGGGGGAGGTCTGCGGGGGAGGCGGTGGATCGTTTGGGCGACGATGACTGGGTGAGCAGCAATTGGCTGCCGAAAGAGAAAAGAAGAATACGACTGCTGCAGCAGCAGCAGCAGCAGCAGCAGCAGCAAGAGCAGTAACAGCAGCAGCAGGTGTGTGTCCGAAGCAGCAGCAGCAACAGCAGCAGCAGCAACTACAGGAGAAGGGGAACCCCACAGCGCTTCCAGCAACGCGACAAAAGAAAGCAAAACAAACACAAGCATCAGCAGCAGCAGCAGCACAGCAGCAGCTGCTGTTGCTGCTGTTGCTGCTGTTGCTGCTGAGGCAGTATCTGGATGCTGCTGCTGCTGCTGCAGAAGTGCAGCGCAGCAGCAGCAGCAGCAGCAGCAGCAGCAGCAGCAGCTTTTGCTGCTGCTGCATGCGCTGTCTGCATCAGATTTTTAGCAGCACATCCCATGCCCACGAAAGCCATAGCAGCAGCAGCAGCAGATGGAGCAGCAGAAGCGTAAGCAGCAGCAGCAGCAGCAGCAGCAGCAGCAGCAGCAGCAGCAGCAAACCAGTTGGGGGTTGAGCCAGTCGGCCTCTGCTTCTGCTGGTTCAGCGTCTCCAAGGAGAGAAATAAAGGGGCGAGCCATGAAGAAACGAGGTGCAGCAGGTGCTGCTGCTGCTGCTGCTCGTGCTGCTGCTGCTTCTTTTGCTGCTGCTCGTGCTGCTTTTGTTGCTGTTGCTGCAGCTGCTGTTTCTGCCGTTGCTGCTTCAGGTGGTGTGGCTGCTCTCGTTGCTGCTGCTGCTGCTGCTGCTGCTGCTGCATTTCGGGCAGCTGTAGAAAAAGAAGCAGCAGCAACACGACTCGGCGACATCCTCACAGCTGCAGCAGCAGCAGCAGCACCTGTTGCTGCTGCTGCTGCTGCAGCTCTTCCTGCTGCTGCAGTGCATCTCGCAAGACCCAAGGGAAGCCCCATCTTTGCTCTAGGGGCCCCCCTTCTAGTCAACCCCTGGGGCCCCTGGGGGCCCCCCGTGGGCTGAGGGCCCCCCAGGGCCCCCAGGGGCCCCCCGGGGCCCCCGGGAATCCCAGAGGCCCTAAAGTAACCAGGGGGCCCCCAGGGGCCCCCCACGCAGCAGGGGGCCCCCGGGGGCCCCTAGGTGGCCCTGGGGTTGGGGTTGGGGGCCCCTGGGGCCCCAGGTTATGGGGGTTTCTTGCAGAGCCAGAGGGTACTGGGGGGCCCCCACAGCGATTTGGGGCCCTTCTGAGGCGCAGAGCGGCAGCTGGAGCCTCTTGAGCAGCTCAAAAGAATTAAAAATGTATTTATAATTAATTAAATAATTCAATAAAGGGATTTAAGCTCGGTTTCGGTGAAGATCGGCGAGCGCGCTGCTGCTGCAGCTGCTGCAGCAGCTGCTGCTGTCGATCCTGCTGCTGCAGTTTGTGTGGGCTGCTCGCTTGAAGCAGCAGACTGCAGAGTTTTAAGTTTGAATTGTTTTTTAATTCTTATTTTTGTAGTTTTCCGCGCATGCAGCCCCGTCGGAGTGCGTGCGCTGGGGCTCCCGATTGAACTAGGGTTTAGGGTTTAGGGTTTAGGGTTTAGGGTTTAGAGTTCAGGGCGCTGGGAGCGAAGCTAAGTGCACGCCGCCTATTTGCCGGCTCGTGGGGCCGCATGCTGCCTTAGGTTCACAAGACAAGCAGCAGCAGCAGCTGCTGCAGGGCAGCAGCAGCAGCTGCTGCAGCGGCAGCAGCAGCAGCAGCGGCAGCAGCAGCAGCAGCGGCTCTGTATTCCCATGTGCCGTTTCCAAGCAGCAGAAGCCAAGGCGGGCGACGCTGCAGCAACAAAACCCGCAACAGTTCTCGCTGCAGCAGCTACAGCAGCAGCAGCTGCAGCTGCAGCAGCAGCAGCAGCAGCAGCAGAAGATAGTGATCAGCTGCAGCACAAATGTAACAAAAAACAGCAGCAGCAAATTGACAGCCGCTTGACCCAGTTGCTAGTGAGTTCCTGACCACATGGCTGTGCTCCGATGTGTGAGTAGCAGCAGCAGCAGCAGCAGCAGCAGCAGCAGCAGCATGATGCAGGCAGAGCATGCAGCAGCGCGGCGGCTGGAGCTGCTGCAGCAGCTGCCTGCTGCCTTGCTGCAGCAAGTGCAGCAGCAGCTGCAGCAGGACCCGCTGCTGTTTAAAGTGCTGCAGCGGCGCGGCAGCGACGAGTTTCTGGGCGAGCGGTTTGCTGTCCATGGCCACCAGGTGCAGCAGCAGCAGCAGCAGCAGCTGCAGCAGCCGCTGCAGCAGCAGCAGCAGCAGCAGCAGCAAGTGGCAATGGACCTCGTATGGTACAGCAGGCGAGGCTGCATGCGGCTCTGCATCCCAAGGGCCCCAGATTTGCTGCAGCAAGTAATGGAGCACTTCACTGCTTCCTACGTGCAGCAGCAGCAGCAGCAGCAGCAGCAGCAGCAGCAGCGGAGGCATCAGACGCAGCAGCAGCCCAAGTACCAGCAGCAGCGGCACAGCCGCAGCAAATGCAGCCGAGACCTACTGCCGCACAAACAGGGCGCAACACGAGCTGCTGCTGCTGCTGCTGCTGCTGCTGCTGCTGCTGCTGGTCCTGCATGCAGCCGCAGCAGCAGCACGGGCTGCTGCTGCGGCTGCGGCTGCCTGAGCCCCAGCTGCCCCTTCCCAGAGCTGCATCGGGAGCAGCAGCAGCAAGCGCACCGCAGAGGCAGCAGCAGCAGCAGCAGCAGCAAACAGACACTTGACGAGCTTTGCTGCAGCAACTTGTGCGCCTCTTTGCTGCTGCAGCAGCTCGCAGCTTGCTGCTACTGGCCCAACATGAGAGATGACTTCGAACGCTTCTTGCGGCAGCGCAAGGCCAACAGCAGCAGCAGCAGCAGCAGCAGCAGCAGCAGCAGCAGCAGCAGCACGAGTACCTGCTGCAGCCCAAGCAGGTGGAAGCAGCCGGCAGCCGCTTCGGTCAGCAAAGCAGCAGCAACAGCAGCAGCAGCAGCAGCAGCAGCAGCAAAGAATGACAGCTGCAGCGGCAGGACAAGTACCCACAAAAAAGTGCCTGCAGCAGCAGCAGCGGCAGCAGCACAGCCTGCCCCTGCTGCCGCTGCTGCTGCTGCTGCTCATGGCGTCATTTCTTGCAGACACGACGTCCTCAATAAGGGTTTGCTGCTGCAGCCAGCAGCAGCAGCAGCAGCAGCAGCAGCAGCAGACTGCGGCTTGCTGTCATCTCCGCGGGGAGAATTGGAGGAGCCGCCGCAGCAACAGCAGCAAACGCCGTCAAGCAGCAGCAGCAGCAGCAGCAGCAGCAGCAGCAGCAGCAGCGACGACTGGGTCTCCATGCAGGTCTGGGTGCGCCGCAGCACTGCTGAGCTGCTGCATGCGCTGCCTTCTGCTGCTGCTGTTGCTGCAGTGCCGCTGCTGCCGCTGAAGCTGGACGGGGAGCTGCTGCTGCTGGATGCCAACAAAGCAGCAGCAGCAGCAGCAGCTGCTGCTGCTGCAACAGAAACGGCGGAGCAGCACAGAGCCGCTTGGAGGCGCATGGAGGTCCATCTTGCTGCTGCTGCTGCTGAGGTGACCCTTGCTGCTGCAGTCGTGAATGATGCAGCAGCAGCAGCTGCTGCTGCTGCACGAGTTCCAGCAGCAGCAGCAGCAGCAGCAACTCCAGACGCAGCAGTGTCCTCACCCTGTGCTGCTGCTACTGCGAGATCAGCAGCAGCGGAAGCCCAGGAGCAGCTGCAGTGGGCTGCTGAAGCTGCTGCTGCTGCCGCTGCTGCTGCTGCTGCTGCACTGCAGCAGCCGCCACCTGGCTTTGAAGAGGCGTGGGAAGGAGCAGCAGCAGCTTCTCCCTACCACTGGCTTCCTTCAGACCCGCTGCTGCCAGCAGCAGCAGCAGCTGCAGCAGCAGCAAGACCAGCAGCAGCAGCAGCAGCACCGCGGGGAAAGCAGGCAAGACGGGCCAGCATCCTTCAAGACGAGGAGCCCTTGCTGCAGTGCCCCGAGCAGCAGCAGCAGCAGCAGCAGCAGCAGCAGCATACGGAGCAGCGCGTGGGCAACCTGCTGCAGCAAGAGCTATACGACTTGCTGCATCAGCAGCAAAATCAGCAGCAGCAGCAGCAGCAGCAGCAGCAAGTTTGGGGCTTGCCCAGTGCAGCTGAGACGTTGCCCTTGCTGCTGCTTGAGCCACCGGCTTCTCATTTTGCTGCTGCTATTGCTCCCAGCAGCAGCAGCAGCAGCAGCAGCAGCAGCAGCAGCTTGCTGCCATGGGGCAGCAGCACACAGGAAGACTACCAGCTGCCTCTCTCTTTGCTGCCGCCCGCAGAAACGGCCCAGCCGCTGCCGCAGCAGCTGCTGCAGAGGGCCCCCTGTGCTGCTGCAGTTGCTGCTGCTGCTGCTGCTGCTGCTTCTAGCCACGCCAGCGCTGCCAGCAGCAACAACAGCAGCCGCGAAAGCTCTGCGCCTTCCTTCATCATAGACACTGCGCTGCAGCAGCAGCAGCAGCAGCAGCAGCAGCAGCAGGACTTTGAAGAATCGGATGCGATTCAGCAGCAATACGGAATCCACGTCTACTCAGCCGCAGCAACAGCAGCAGCAGCAGCAGCAGCAGCGTCGAATCTGGTCCGCAAACAGCAGCTGCAGCAGCTGCCACAGCAGCAACAGCAGCAGCAGCAGCAGCAGCAGCAGCAGCTCGTCGACCCGTGGCGGCGCCGCCGCTCGCTGCTGGCCTTTGCCTTCAACTTTGCTGCTGCAGCAGCAGACATGATGGCAGTGTCTTGCTGCCTCTGGCTGGGGTGTATGTACACCCGAGCTGATGCAGTGTGTCTTGTCTTTCCCCTAAAGTTGCAAACTGTAAGGAGCTTGCTGCTGCTGCTGCTGTTGCTGCTGCTCCTGTTGCTGCTGCTGTTGCTGCTGCTGCTGCTGCTGGCCCACTTCATGCTGCTGCAAATGGTGCAGCTACCTGCTTTGCTTCCTGCGCAGCTTTTGCTCTTACCACCATTGGCGTTGCTGCTGCTGCTGGTCATGCTGCTGCTGCTGCTGCTGCTGCTGCTGCTGAACCGACTGCTGCTGCTGCTGCTGCTGCTGCAGGACCAGAGCCCGACATGCGTTGTCAGACTGTGCGAGCCTGCTGACATTCCGCGGCTGTATGCCTTCGTTTGCTGCTGGCTGCAGCAGCTGCAGCAGCAGCTGCTGCTGCTGCCTCATCAGCAGCAGCAGCAGCAGCCAGAACAGGAGCAGCAAAAGCACTTGTGGCAGCCGCTGCCTGCAGCTGAAGAAGGCAGCACTTCCCCCTTTTCTTTATGCTTGACCCCCAAGACAAAGGCTGCAGCAGCAGCAGCAGCAGCAGCAGCAACAGGGCCAGCAGCAGCGGCAGCAGCCCCTTTAAGGGAACCGAAGGCAGCAGCAGCAGCAGCAGCAGCAGCAGCAGCTCTGCTGACAACCGAGCGGCTATCTCCGCTCGTGTGGCTTGCGCCGTTGCTGCAGAAAATTGAAGCAGCAGCAGCAGCAGCAGCAACAGCAGCAGCAGAGCAGCAGCAGCCGAAGCTGCTGTATCTGCTGCTGGATTTGCTGCCGCCCCTTAGAAAGAGCATTGCGGTGCTGCAGCGAGTGACTCCAAAGGAAGCTGCTGGCTACCGCAGCAGCAGCAGCAGCAGCAGCAGCAGCAGCAGCAGCAGCAGCGGGAAGTCTCCCTTTTGGGTGTTTGTGGGGCCGACTCATGGGCTATCAGAAGCTGCTGCAGTGCTGCGGCCCTCCGTGTGCAGCAGCTGCAGCAGCAAGGGCAGCAGCAGCTGCTGCTGCGGAGCAGCAGACATAGAGCTTGCCTTAGACGTTGTTCTAGGCTCTTTGAAGTTTGCATGCGTTGCTGCTGCTGCTGCTGGCAGCAGAAACGTTGCCCTGGCCATCACAGACGCAGTTGCTGCCCCAGCAGCAGCAGCAGCAGCAGCGCCCGCTGCTGCTGCTGCTGCTGCTGCTGCTGCAGCGGAAACGCCCCTGCCACCGGCAGCTGGGGTGCCAGCAGCAGCACCACCAGCAGCACCACCAGAAGCAGCAGCAGCAGCAGCAGCAGCAGCAGCAGCAGCAGCAAACCCTTATTGGGGCCCGAAGGTTTTGGGAAAACGACTTTCTCCTCCTGTGTCCAGCAGAGCTTCAAGGCTGGCGGTGGCGCTGCTGTGTTACCGTGCTGCAGTGCGAGTTGCTGCTGCTGCTGCTGCAGCAGATGCTGCTGACGCAAGAGCAGCAGCAGCAAGGGCAGCAGCTGAAGAAGCAGAAGACAGACTGTGTCAGTGCAGGGGGGCTGTGCAGCGTCTGCACAGAAGAGAAGTGGCAGCAGCAGCAGCAGCAGCTGCTGCTGCTGCTGAAACAGCCGCAGCAACTGCAACAGGAGCACCCGCTAGGACAGCAGCTGCAGCAGCAACAGCTGCGCTGCTGCAGCAGCAAGATGCTGCAGCACAGCGACTTCTCGTGCGGCGCTTTCTGCTGCGTGCTGTTCTGGCCCTGCGTAGTTGCTGCAGTGCGCCGCCTACGTTTGAACAGCTGCAGCAGCAGCAGCTGCTGCTGCTGCAGCAGCAGCAGCAGCAGCAGCAGAAGCAACGAGAGGTCTGCTCGGGGTTACCCGCAAATGAAGCTTCTCAAACTGCAGCCCTTGCTCCTGCTGCTGCAGCGGCTACAGCCGCTGCTGCTGCTGCTGCTCCCGGGCCAGCGCCACCAGGTGCTGCTGCTGCTGCTGCTGCTGCTGCTGCTGCTGCTGCTCACAAGTACACAGCTGAGGCTGAGTGGCTAACTATGGCGTCTGCGTACGAGCACCTCGCAGATACATTCTTGCTGGAGCATGCACAACTGGGGCAGCAGCAGCAGCAGCAGCAGCAGCAGCAGCAGCAGCAGCAGCAAGGCAGTGGCGCAGCAGCAGCACTTGAAATGGAGTTTCTTCGGCTCCGGTGTCTCTCCCGTGCAGGGCAGCTGCTGATGGAAGGTCTTCGCTACGTAGCAGCAAGCCGCAGCAGCAGCAGCAACAGTAGCAGCGCTGCTGCTGCTGCTGCTGCTGCTGCGTGGGAACATCAGCGGCTGCTGCTGCTGCGCCGCCTGCAAGGAAAGCTGCTGCGGTGTCACATGAGCCTCGCCCAGCTGCATCTTTCTCGGCTGCGTGTCGACGCAGCAGCAGCAGCAGCAACAGCAGCAGCAGCAGCAGCAGGCTCTTTTGATGCAGAAGCCCAGCGAAACACTGACCCCAGCAGCAGCAGCAGCAGCAGCAGCAGCAGCAGTGTGCTTTTATCTGAGTTAGAAGGCGCCGGAAGGGGCCTCCGTCACCTGCTGCTGGCGTCTTGCTTCATACGGCCTTGCGAGGGCAGCAGCAAGAGCAGCAGCAGCAGCAGCAGCAGCTGCTGCTGCTGCTGCGGCTGCTGTGGCGGGCTGGGGGATGCAGACAGCGCGCTGCTGTATAAGTCTGTATACTTGTCGGTGGCTGAAGTGTTTGTGGTGCTTGCCCAGGCGCTGCTGAGCTCGAAGCAGCAGCAGCAGCAGCAGCAGCAGCAGCAGCAGCAGGCAGCTGGTGCTGCTGGGGGCGCGGTCACTGACGCTGCTGCTGCTGCTGCTCTTTTCGAGGCCATCGGGAGAGACTTGGATGCTTTGCCAGCTTGGTGTGCGCCTCTTGTGCAGCGCAGCAGCAGCTGCATGGGTGCAGCAGCAGCAGCAACAGCAGCTGCTGCCAGCAACAGCAGCAGCAGCAGCAGCAGCAGCGGTGGCAGCAGCCATGCCCTCTGGGGGCCCCCGCTGCTGCCCTGCTGCTCCGCTACAGTGCCGCCGGACAAGGAGCTGCTGCTGAACAACGGGGTGGCTTTTTGCCTGCGGGTGCTGCAGCAGCAGCAGCAGCAGCAGCAGCAGCAGCAGCAGCGAAGGCACAGCTCGAGCCCCCGTCGCTACAGCCCTGGCACGAAGGCAGCGGACAGCAGCAGCAGCCACCAGCAGCAGCACGACGGGCAGCAGCAGCAGCAGCGGCAGCAGCACCTGGAAAGGTGCCTAGACACCCGAGCGCAGCAGCTGATGGCAGCAGCTTACACAGCGCTGGGGTGTCTGTACACCTCAACTGGCAGGCGGACTCGCGCTCTCATTCATGCCAAACAGGTTTGTCACTTATAATTATTTAGAAGCATTAAAAAATATAATAGTTTGACTTCTTTGCATTCTTTGCTGCTGCTGCTGCTGCTGCTGCTGCAGGGAGCAGCACTGTTTGCTGCTGTGGGGGACGCCATTAGTGCTGCGCGCATGCAGCTGCTGCTCAGCTGCATGAAGCTGCACCCGCTGCTGCTGCCGGGCAAGCAGCAGCAGCTGCAGCAGCAGCAGCAGCAGTGCGATCTAGACCCCGCGGCTATTGCTGCTGCAGTTGCATGCAGCAAAGGCCGCTGCGACCCGCAGCAGCAGGAACTACTGCAGCAGGAGCTGCAGCTGCTGCAGCGGCAATTGGCGTCTCTAGAGTCAATAGGGAACGAGCACGCAGCAGCAGCTGCAGCAGCAGCAGCAGAGGCGGAAGACGAGTTCTTTCAGCCGAAGCAGCAGCAGCAAGCTGCAGCAGCAGCAGCAGCAGCAGCGGCAGCAGCAGCAGCAGCAGCAAGACTTGCTGACGAATGCCGGTGTCTAATGGCAGCCTTGCATTTGCGCTTAGCGGAGCAGGAGCTGCTGCACGCAGCAGCAGCAGCAGGAGCAGAAGCAGCAGAAGCAGCAGCAGCAGCTGCTGCTGCTGCTTCTAGGATTACAACAGCAGCATGGAGGCCCAGCGCTGCACCATGCGAGACAGCAGAGCTTCTGGCTGTCGTGTCTGTGCTGCTGCTGAGCCGCACTAGCCTCAGCAGCAGCAGCAGCAGCAGCAGCAGCAGCAGCAGCAGCAGCAGCATGCTGCAGCACGGCGTTGGAAGCAGCTGCTGCCTCATAGATAAGGACAGGCTGCAGCAAGCACAGCAGCACATTGAGAAGGCGCTGCAGCTCTCTGCTGCGAATCCCCACAATGCGCTGCAGCAGCAGCAGCAGCAGCAGCAGATGCTGCTGCTGCGTGAAGGTCTGCATTGTCTAGCTGCTGCAGCTCTTGCAGCGTCATTGGCGCTTCCTCTGTATGAGGAATTCCAGCAGCAGCAGCAGCAGCAGCAGAAGCAGCAGCAGCAGCAGCAGCGGCGCCACAGAGGGCGCTTGCTGCAGGTAGTCGGACGAAGGCTGGAGGAGGCGCAGCAGCAGCTGCAGCAGTGGCTTCTTGTTTGGGGCGGGCCTCACTGGCAGCAGCAGCAACACCAGCAGCAGCAGCAGCAGCAGCAGCAGCAGCAGCAGCAGCAGCAGCAGTATACGCAGCAGCTCTTTGAGCGGGCCTACAGCTCCTTCGCCGGCTGCTGCTGCGCCTTAGGCGCAGTGAGAGCAGCCCAGGCAGGAAAGTGGAAAATATACCAGCAGCAGCAGCAGCAGCAGCAGCAGCAGCAGCAGCAGCAGCAGCAGCAGCAGCAAGCTTTGCATGCTATTCGGGCTATTGCGGGGATCGGCATGCTGGTAGTACCTTTCCTAGCAAGCAGCAAGTGCAACAGCAGCAGCAGCAGCAGCAGCAGCAGCAGCAGCAGAACGTTGCTGCTGCAGCAAGACGCGGTTGCTGCTCGCGCTGCAGCGGACGAGGCAGTGACACAGGTTTTGCTGCCGCCAGCAGTGGCTGCTGCAGCAAGCTCGCTGTTGCTGCTGCTGCATGCATTTGTCGCAGCAGATGGCAGAATGAAAGCAGCTGGAGAGGGACGAGCAGCAGCAGCAGCAGCAGCAGCAGCAGCAGCAGCAGGACAAGTCACTCCGCGCCGCAGCAGCCTCAGCTCTGCTGCGGCCAGCAGCATCCTCGCAGACCTGCAGCAGCAACTGCTGCTGCTGAACCCGGAAACAGCACGCAGCGCAGCAGCAGCAGCAGCAGCAGCAGCAGATGCAGCAGATGCCAGCTGTGCAGCAACGGGTTCCTTCAGCAAACGTTTGCTTCTTTTGCAGCAGCACCAGCGGCAGCAGCAGCAGCAGCAGCAGCAGCACCAGGCGCTGCTGCTGAATGCATGCTTCCAATTGATTTCTTGCGACGCAGACTCTGGGCAGGCTGCGCCAGAGTACTAGCGGCTGCTGCTGCTGCTGCTGCTGCTGGGCATTACTGCAGGAGCAGCTGCTGCAGCAGCAGCAGCAGCTGCAGCAGCAGCAGCTGCAGCAGCAGCAACAGCAGCAGCAGCAGGCTGTGGAGACCGTGTCTGATCTCTCCGTTCAATTTTGAGTAACACCAGCTGCTGCAGTTCTTGGTGAGAAGAAGCAGCAGCTACTGCAGCAGCAGCTACTGCAGCAGCAGCTACTGCAACAGCAGCAGCAGCAGCAACAGCAGCAGCAGCAGCCTCTTTGGCAGCACGCAGCACAAGGTCTTATTGTGTTGCATTGCGTTTGGCGTGCCTTTCGAGTGTATAGGCAGCTGAAGGCAATTAACAAACCCCTGCAGGTCTCTGTCTCTAGGGTTTAGGGTTTAGGGTTTAGGGTTTAGGGTTTAGCCGTCAAGGTTTAGGGTTTAGGGTCTAGACTCCAGGGTTTGGGAGTTCAAGTCCTAGCTTTCGGGGTTTAGGGTTTAGGGTCTAGTTTTCAGGGTTTAGGGTTTGGGTTTAGCCTTCGGGGTTTAGGGTCTGGCCTCCGCGCATTTAGGGTTTAGGGCTTTCGGTCTAGTCTTCAGGGTTCAGTGCTTAGGGTTTAGGGTCTAGTCTTCAGGGTTTAGGGTTTAGGGTTTAGGGTTTAGGGTTTGAGGGGCGCTTTGCATGCAGCACACCCGCATGCATGCAGAAGCAGAAACGCCCATACCTTTTCATACTTCCCTCTACACTGCTGTGAAGAGTTCTGAAGATGCATTTTAATGCATTATTCAAGTTTTATTTTAAAACACTTTTATATTATATTTATAATTTTTATATTTTCATTTTCTAGAGTTTCTCAAAAGAGCCTCCAGGCTGCAGCAGGCTGAAGCCGTGCTGTTCCTTGTGGACTCGAGGCCACTCGGGGGTTTAGGGTTTAGGGTTTAGGGTTTAGGGTTTGCGGGAAATCAGCTGAGGAGCAAGCCTGCTAAGCAGCAGCAAACAGTAAATTGAGGCATTAAGAAGTAAACTAAAAAGAATTGAATTAATTAAAGGCAAAAGGAGTGGCCAGGGGTAGGTGAAGAAGTCAAGCCGCCGCTCCAGGCGGAGGGTGTGAGCGAGCGGCCGCGCCTGGGAGGAATAAATGGGATTTTTTGCTTTTAAAGGACTTTTATGAGTTTAATTTCTTAAAAATTGAAGGAACAGGAGAAAAAAGATCGCAAATAACGTGTGGAGCGTCGAAAAGTGGCGTTTTTCTGCGAAGATCGCCGCAGCCACAAAACCCAGCCCCAGCGCTGGAAAGCGGCTGCTGCTGCTGCTTCTGAAGCCCCTGCTGCTGTTTCCCCAGTTTTCGCAAAAGACTTTAGTTGACTGCAAAAGTATTTAATTTAAATTGTCTGCGTTTTCGCAAAAACTCGAGGAGTGCTGCCCGAGCCGGTCTTCGGGAGCCGAGGCGCGCCTTGCGGGAAAGACTGCGCCCCGGCTAAGAGGATTCTCTGGTTTTTCTCCGTTTAATTTCTTTTAATTTTGTTTAAAAGACATTTTTTTGTTCTTTTCTCTCGATTGCGCGTCTCGCGGAGTCGGGAGCTTCCCGGGCGCCCGTGTCGCCGCCCTCCCCAGACCTCTCGCTTTTTGTTCTTTTCGCATTTTTCCTCCTTTTTGGCGCTTTCAAACGAGATTTTAACCAATTTCACCTTTTAAATCTCTTTTTCTCCTCCATTTGAACCCCTGAAGCGCTTAAAAGTCGCTTTCCACCCCGCGATCGCGCCGCTGCCGCCGCCGTTCAAGTTCAAGTTCAAGTTCAAGTTCGAGCCGCGTTCAGTTCCAGTTTGATCCCGAGGCTGGCCCGCACTTGCGCTTCGAATTGGAATTGGAATTGCAATTCAAATTGGACTTCAAATTTGAATTTAATTCCGAAAAATTCAAATTCAAATTCAAATTAAAATTCAAATTCAAGTTTGAGTTCAAGTTCAAGTTCGCCTGCGCAGAATGGCTGCAGCCGCCGCCGCCCCGGCCGGCGATCTGCTGCGGAATTCGGGGGAAAGCGAAGCAAAAAGCAGCAAAACTGCAGCAGCAGCAGCAGCAACAACAGCAGCAGCAGCAACAACAGCAGCAGCAGCAGCAGCAGCAGCAGCAGCAGCAGATGGCAAGACTTTTGACAAAGAACAGAAGCAAAAAAATGAAGCTTTCTGGAGAAATTTGCTGCTGGAAATCGGAGTGCAGCAGCAGCAGCCGCCGCCGCCGCCCAAGACTTGGAAAGACAAACTTGCCTGTGAGATCTTTTTATCTTTTAATTCATTGTTTTGTTATATTTATTTATTTATTTATTTATTTATTTATTTATTTATTTATTTATTTATTTATTTATTTATTTATTATTTCATTTATTACTTTTGTTTATTTGCTGCTGCGGCCTTTTAAACCTTTCCTCTTGTTGTCCTTTGGCTTCGTTCTAAGTTACTGCTTCTCACTTCTCACTTGCTGCTGCTGT